ACTATTTTGTAGCCTCAAGTTTTCGTTTTTTTCATGGATTGTTAAATTTTGATTGGGCTATTAATTTTAGTGGATTTAAGCCTTCATCATTATGCTCGCATGTGTAAAAGTTAAAGGATTTTGTCTCTTACAACTTGCTTTTCGTCAGTGACGTCACAGTGAAAAGAAAGAACCCGATCAGCTCCAAATTCACTTTTCAATTCATCACAAGTAGTAGATAACTTGTCTTTAGACAGATCAAATATTGCTACCTTAAAAAAAAAACAAGAAATAAATTGTATAAATTTAGGTATATAAAAAGTCTTGATTGTCACTTTACCTTTGCCCCTGATTGAAGTAAAAGACGGCTAGTGGCTAATCCAATGCCTTGGGCACCTCCAGTCACTACAGCACTTTGTTCTGACAACATTACAAACTTGCTAGAGCTTTTACCGTACTTTAGACTTCTGCTTTACCTCATGCACCTTTATCTATGATGACAGACTGATAGTCACACCTCATTAATAATTGTTACAATAACAACAATTTTCATTTAAAAATTAATAATTAAAGTTTTGATTTCATGTCTTCCTTGTATCTCTGATACATGAGTCCTTGCCACGGGTTAGCTCTGAGGATAGCACCATTTCTACTAGTATCAGTTATTAGATCCATTATACCTTTAGCTACCACCTTGGGCCTAATAAGGAAATTTATAGTACTAATGTTTCTATAGCATTACTTTATCAATCCATATTCTGTAATAATCCTCTTGTAAGGTTCAGGGAGTGTTTCATATATGGATCTAGACTCTGGAGCATCAACAAAGCCAGGACAAACACAATTAATACGAAGTCCTTTTTCTTCTACATTGGTCTGCATGAGTATAATATGATATTATCAAAAAATTTAGAGAGAATTAGATCGACTGACTTTCATTGCTCTTGTGAATGCTACAACTCCATGCTTCACTGCTGAGTATGCAGGACCAGTATTGAATGGAGTCAAACCTGAAAACAGAACAGGTTTTTTATTTCATGGACTACTCTATAACTAACCAGCCATTGATGATACATTAACTATCACTGCTCCTTTATCAGGTGACATTAGCTCCATTGCATTGTAAGTCCCACTAATGACAGATTGCTAGAAAATTTGCATTTTATATTGAGGCTATACATGACCATTAGACTTCTTACTAAATTTATCTTCAGTAGTTTTTCCAAATTTTCTTCGTCGTATACATAAAAGTTATTGATGACAATGTCTAATGAACCAAAATGTTCAAAAGCCTTCTTAAAAGCTCTTCTCTGTAATAAAATGAACAATAAATCCACACTTTTTTTAGTAAAAAAATTAACGTACCAAAGCATCAGTATCATTCATAATATCACAGGAAATATAACCAACATTATTTGCACCGTATTTTTTCTCCAAAGCATCACACCTTGATTTTAGAGCAGAACAGGCTCCATTAAAAACATCGACAAGGCATACCTAATGCCATAAATATATACTATAGGCAGCTATTAGCTATCATACTTAACCTTAGCACCTGATTGAAGGAGAAGGTTAGAGGCTTCTAATACGATCTCATCACTAGCTGTTGGTCTATCTGCTCCTGTCAGTGTGACAACAGCAACTCTTCCAAAGAGCATCCTTTACAGTTTGGACTAGAGTAATTAATCAATTATCGGACTAATCAAACTTCGGACAGTTATATTTTGAAAACTAAACATGATTTTCCAGTGATTTTTGCACTATATATAGATCATCACAATATCTGTTTGCATGGTAAAAATCAAAGCATTACCTTCTTTCTTTGTAAAGATATAATTTGCTAAACACACTTCGTAGATTCACACAATAATCGGCCGTGTTAACTCCATTTTCGTCACTTAGCCACAACGAAGCAAGCTTTGTTCGAAGAATAGTTTTGTACCACCAGAACTTTAGTACTGACTGTCTTCTTCAAATACCACTGTAAACATCTTGGTCATCTTTGCTTACTGTTCAGGTATTATACCTTTTTAGTTAATTATCATTATCGGTCACACCCATCTTCATTAATTGCTGCAACAAAGCACGAGGCTCCTTGTTTGTATTTTTGTTTGGACTCATTGAATCTCTC